TTGCCAGTGATGTCACTGCCCCTGCTGTTGTGTGGCGCTGACCCTGCCCCCCCCCCAGTGCCTGCGCTGGGCGGCCCCTGGCTCGGGCTGTCCCAGGGCGCCCGGAGGGGAGATGGGCTGTGCTGCCTCCCGGCTCCGCCATGGCGCGGTGAGGAGCCTGGGCTGTTACAGGCCTTTGGCCTCCCGGGCCGGGGGAGGGTAAGCGCCTTCTCCCCAGGTGTTGCCTGGGCCCGGCTGATATTCCACACCAACAAATTCAGGATCCCGCCCCGTATGGGAGGATTAAGAGGCATGCTGCGTCCTCCTGGGCTTTCCCTGGGTGGCCAGGCGCTGAGTGTGGGAAATCTCTATGATCCAGGGCCCGCGTGACCCCACCTGGTGGTGCTGGGACAAGAGGGGACCTGTCCAGACTTTGCCCATCTGAGAGATTGTGCTGGCGACTTGCCTGGACCTACAGTAACGAGCCTCTGGTGGAGCAGAAGGCAGCTGCTTTCACCTGGGGGTGGGAGCTTGGAGGTGACCAGGCCCAGCATGTGATGCTCCTTCTGAGTGGCAGAGCCTGGGACCTGGAGTCTCCGTGGAGCCAGGCTTTGACCAACATTTCTCTAGGGCTTCACGTCACGTAGGGTGCGGTGTAACACATCCTTCCCAAACCGGCTGTCCTAGCTTCCCTAGGAGGCAGCTAATGATGGCAGCAGAGAGCTGAGGGAGTTGCTTGTCCTCAGGACTGTGATGTGAGGGGCGTGGAGGTTCTCTTATGTCTTGGTGGATCGTGGGGACAGTGCCTTCAGCACATGGACAGTGCGCATTGGAGTTGTGGGCGTGTGTGGGGGACGGGACGGGACGGGAGCAGATGTTCTGTTCCAGCTGATATCTCATGCGCCTGGGGACAGCGTTAACAGCTGGGGTGAGATGTCAAAAGGGGGCTTGATGGGTCCGCCCCTCTACCCCTGATTGGACAGTGTAGGCTTGGTCTCTTTCAGCTGCCCACTCTGATGAAAGGCACCTCGGATGACGACGTCCCATGCCCTGGGTACCTGTTTGAGGAAATCACAAGTATCCTTTATTCCCAGGGTAAGGCTGGGAAGGCAGCGTTGGAGCTGTGTGTGAGAGAGGCGCGATAAGAGACTGTTGCAAGTTTCAAGGCCAGTGTCAGATATTTCTGTTACTAAAAGCAGGGATCACTAGTGCTTTGGAATCGCACTCCATGGTGAGAGCGTGGACTAGTGGTTAGAGCGGAGGGGTGGGGGGACAGTTTGGTGATCTGGGTTCTCTTCCCTGCTCTGATACTCCACCTCCCTGTGCCTCAGCTGTGCTCAGGAGAGAAATCAGGCCTGACTCTCTTCCTGGGATACTGAGAGATGGACAGACATGTGCAGAGTGCTCTGAGATCTGCGGGTGCAAGGAGCAGAGAATGTAGAGGGACTGTTCTGTTGTGAATCCCAGCTAGAAGAGGCAGGTGCAGCAGGTTTAAGACCCTGGTATTTTGGGGGGTGGAGGGGACTATGCAGTGGGGTGAGGGGGGCAGGGCTTCAGTGGGGCGAAGGTGGGAGGGGAGACCCGCTGTTCTTTGCTTAACTGTGATGAAGCTGCATTAGCAGTGATCAAGGAGTGGGAATGGCTCAGGGACTGGCAGGATCCTTTGACCCTTGGAGTCCTCGGCCTTTAACCTGACATCGGCTGCTCATTAGTGAGTGTCACTTCTCTAACACTGCACCCTCCCAGAGATCTCCTACGACTCCCCAGGGAGCAGCCAGTGCCTCCTGGAGCACCTCCTCAACCGACTGCAGAATAACTCCTGTCACGTCAAGCTGAAGGTAACCGAACATCTGGGCGCTGCCAGGGGGAGCGCAGCACCAGGGGCTGTCCTTAGGGTGCAGGCGGGAGGGAGGCGAGAGCTCGGGGGTGCCAGGACCTCCATAAGAACGGCCACGCTGGTCAGACCAAAGGTCCATCTAGCCCAGTGTCCCATCTTCAGGCAGTGGCCAGCCAGGTGCCCCAGAGGGAATGAACAGAACAGGCAATCCCAAGTGAGCCATCCCCTGTCGCCCATTCCCAGCCTTTGGCATAGTCATTGATGGGCCTATCCTCCATGAACTTATCTAGTGCTTTTATGAAGCCTGTTCTAGTCTTGGCCTTCACAAATCCCCTGGCAAGGAGTTCCACAGGTTGACTGTGCATTGTGTGAAAAAAATACTTCCTTTGTTTGTTTTAAACCTGCTGCCTATTAATTTCATTTGGTGACCCCTAATCCGTGTGTTATGAGAAGGAGTAAATAATACTTCCTTATTTACTTTCTCCACACCAGTCATGATTGTATAGACCTCTATCCTATCCCCCTTGGTCGTCTCTTTTCCAAGCTGAACAGTCCCAGTTTTATTAATCTCTCCTCATACGGAAGCTGTTCTCTACCCCTAATCATTTCTGTTGCCCTTTTCTGAACCTTTTCCAATTCCAATATATCTTTTTTGAGATGGGGCGACCACATCTGCACACCGTATTCAAGATGTGGGCGTCCCATGGATTTATATAGAGGCAATATATATACAATCTGTTCGCTTTTTTGACTGTCACTGCACATTGAGTGAATGTTTTCAGAGAACTCTCCACAATGACTCCAAGATCTCTCTCTTGAGTGGTAACAACTAATGTAGACCCCATCATTTTATGTGTATAGTTGGGATTGTGTTTTCCAATGTGCATTACTTTGCATTTATCAACATTGAATTTCATCTGCTCAGGTTTGGGAATCTCCCTCGCATCCTCAGCCATGAAGACCGATGCAAAGAATTCATTTAGTTTCTCCGCAATGGCCTGGGACCTGAATGTTCCCAGGAAAAGGGGGGGTCTGAGGCTGGGGCAGGCGCCACCACCCCCCTGGTGTGAGTGGGGAGGGGCTGGTGTCAGGACATTCCTAGCGAAGACTCTGCACTGACTCCTTCCGCCGGGTCTTCACCCTGCCAGAGTCTGGACCTGGTGCTTTCCATCAGCCCCGAACAGTTCTGGTCTGGTGAAGTGCAGGCAGCCGAGTGAGTCCCCAGGTGTCCAATTCTGGTGCCCCAGACTCTGCTCAGCCTCTCCTGTGTCTCCAGGTGCTGAAGATTCTGCTGTACATGTGCACGCACGGCTCTTCGCAGTTCCTCCAGCAGCTGAAAAGGAATTCCACCTTCATCCAGGAAGCAGCAGGTAACAGGGCACCTGGGCGGCCCTGGGGCTGGGCTGGGGTCAGCACTGTTACCAGAAAAGAGACCAGCCGAGGGCAACGCTGCTCCAGCCTCGCGCTGACTGGGGAAAGCACTGCAGAGGGAAAGGCCCCCAGCCCCAAATCCCGCCGGTGCTCTTGATTTCCCTGCCACCGGCTGTGGGCTTGGTGCAGCCGTCGGGGGGCTCAGGTGGGGAGCTGCAGGAGAGGGGATGGTACTGCTGGGTGATGTGATGACTGCCCGGCACACCCCTCTAGCTGTGCCCGTTAGACCTTACACAGCTGCACTAACCCAGCCCTTCCTCACCCTCTGCCTTCTAGTGTTCGCGGGGCCGCCAGATCCCCTGCACGGCAACAGCTTGTACCAGAAGGTCCGAGCAGCAGCACAGGTGAGTGACACCCTGCCCCGTCCAGGGGACTGACCCTGGGGAGAGGACTCTGCACGGGCCGGGGGAGTTCAGGGCACCCTCCCACCCCTGCTCCAAGCACTGGCCAGGGATTTGCTGAGCCGGCCGGGAGCCCAGTGCCCTCTCCCGGCTGTGACTGTCCGTTCTTTCCCTGCAGGACTTGGCCGGTGCTTTATTTTCGGATACCTTGTCGCCCCCGCCCTCTGCTCAGCCCTGCAGGCCACTTCCCCCAACAGGTAAACACCAGCACCCTGGTGTGAACACTCCCCCCGCTCATGGCACTGCCGGGAGGTGCTGAGCTGGCAGCCCTGGAGACGGGTGCTGGGGGGGGGGGGAAGACGCTGACGGCAGCGCCTTATCCCCAGGGCAGGTGCAGCTGAGACAGTAGCAGGGCAAACTCCCCCCGCTGCTTGTCGATGAGGGGAGTCTTGGGAAGGGGCGGTCGGGCTCCATGGGCAGTTCACTATTTACACTGGCTCGCCCTCTAATGACCTTGCGCTGCTTTCACGCCCGATCCTCCTGGGAATCCCACTCGCCCAGGGAGCTGGGAAACGGTCCCTGCCCCTGCTGGCCACATCTCCCAGCTGGTGGCGCCACTGCGGTCCCGTGGCTCCAGTTGCTAAGCGCGTGGCCCACCCACCGAGGGAGCCTGGGATGGGAACTCAGGCAGGGCCTCTCACATGGCAGGACAAATGCATCCTTATTGGAGGCTATGGAGGTGCTGGCAGAACAGGGAAAGCAACGGCCCTTGCAGCTCCCGTCGGGTGGGTGCCGTGGGGCTGGGCAGCGACTCACGTCAAACAGAGGGTCAGAAAATGGGGTGGGGGCTGCAAGGGGCATTAAGTGCCCAGCTGCCATGGGGAGTCAGTGGGAGTTGGCACCAGGCTCCCTTCGGCCCCTTGGAAAATCCGACCCCTAAAGGTCACCGAAGCAAGGAGCCCTGCAGCCTCCAGCCAGCCAGGCTGTGGTCCTGCCGCAAGTAGGGCTCTGGGCTGCGCGTGCCAGCTCCCCAGCACTACTAGCATTTCCCCACCAGGGGGCAGCACCTGTGTCGGGTCCGCAGGCCGAGTTTGGTTTAGCTGCAGTGGCTTCCTGGCTCTGTGCCCCCTGCAGAGCTGGGGTTGGCTGTGTCCGGGCGGCGGGACGGGCGCCCCTGAGTGAAGTAATGGGCAGAGGGGGCACAGCCTGGGGAGGGACCCTGGAGCTCTCTGTCTCTCTCTCTGAAATGTGCTTTGTGCCTCTGGTCATAGGAATGGGCTCCAAGCCCAGCCCCTGCCGCTCCTTCCAAGGCTTTGGCTTCACGGGCGAGAGAAGCGGCTCTCGTAAGTGCCGTCCACAGGGCCCGGCTCCGCGCCACCCCCTGCCACGTCGCCAGCTCGCGGGGGTTAGCCCACAACTCCCAACTAGGGGGACCAGATGTCCCGATTTTATAGGGTCCGTCCCGATATTTGGGGCTTTTTCTTATATATGCGCCTATTACCCCCCACCCTCTGTCCTGATGTTTCACATTTGCTATCCCAACAGACGGTGCTTTTTGAGCATCCTCTGCTCCGGGGGCCGGGATTAGAGGAGGCTCTACAGTCATTTAAAACAGGAAACCAGTTTTTAGCCCTGGTCATGGCAGAGAAAATCTTGAGACCCCCCCCGACCCAAATGCCCCCGTGTGCTCGCAAACCAGAGGGCAAAGAGCAAGAACCCCACGTTTCTTATGTGAAAATAAAGCTCTGGATTTTCCAGCCAAACTGGTGATTTCTGGGGCCTGGCTCGTGGCGTTTGAACGCTCTGGGTGGCAGTGCTGATGTGCTGCTGAGAGGCCAAGACTGAAGTGCCATAGGCCCAAAGCAGGCACTGCCCAACCAGCAGCAGCGTGAGCTTCCCTGTGCCCAGACCCTGCCGTTGTCTCTTAGCCCCAACCCAGGGTCCCAGGCTGGGGGTGAAAGGGCACTTCAGTCTCCCTGGCCCATACCTTGGCGTCCCTGCTGAGATGCCTGTTAAGTGCCCAGTTCGTGCCAACTAGCATTGCTCCAGATTGTGCGGGGCTGTTCTAGGCAGCTCCCTAGGGAAGTAGGAGTTCGGGGCAGGCTGGATTCAGAGACCACTTGTTGCCAGTGAGTGGGCAGGGTTGCTGGGCTGGGAGAAGCTGGCAGAGACCCGTCCGCCAGCCCAACGCCCCTACAGCCCCTGGCGGGCAACGGGATCCGGCCTAATTTCCCCCCCCTGCGGGCGGGGTGCCCCGAGGGTGGGTGGCAGCTCTGCCCTCAGAGTGGAGCCCTGCACAGAGACTCACGCCCTGGCCTCTCCTGTGCTTGCCCAGCTTCCGCCGGCGAGGCTCTGCTCGCCACCATACAGAAAGCAGCCGAGGTGGTCGCCAGCGCTGTGCTGCCCAGCCCGGAGTTCCCCCCTCCCTGCCCCAGGGAGCTGCAGGATGATGCCTACCAGCCCGTGACGGCACCTTCTCCTGGTAAAAGCTGTGTGGTGCCTCCAAAGCCCCCTGCTCCTGCAGCCCACAGCCTGCGAGGTATGTGTGTGGGGCTGCGGCGATGGAAAGCGGCTCCCATGGTAGCTCCCGCAGACAGCTCTTGTGCATCATCACCCCTGCCGTATTAGGGCTCCTGACACCCCGGCCGGGAGGGGAAGGTTGGTCCTACTCTAAAGATGGACACGTTAGCTTCAGTGACAGAGCTGGGGACAGAACCCAGGAGTCTAGGCTGCCAGTTCCCAGCTCTCGCTGCTGGATGACACTCCTCCATGCAGTGGTGCTAATGCCTAATGTTCGTTAGCCGTTTCCACCCTGTCCCCGGGCTCACCGCATGCTCGGCAAATCCTAGGAATCACCACACACCGCATTGAAATGCAGCCACCTCTGGGGTGAAACACAGCTGCCATTTAGCAGCACATAACACTGTTCCACAGTCCAGGCCTGGAATAGAAGAAGAACCCTGGTTCCTCCGGAGTGCCCACCATTTCCTGTATGGTGCAGGTGGAGGCTGGGTCGTGGCAGAGCTGTCTGCCAATCCCTGAAGCAGGCAGGAAGCTCTGGCTCTGGGTGACTCTCTCCTGCTGTTGCTTCTCCTATAGTGAGTCACCAGCCTGGGCAGGCAGGAGGTGGCTGGGAAGAGACGGACAGTGGGCACAGCTCCCAGAACTCCTCGCAGGAGAATGGGGAGCTGAGCAGGACCTCCGACTCCTACAGCAAATCAGGCAGCGACAGCCCCTCGGGGGCCAGCAGGGAGCTGGGGAACATTACTGAGAGGTGAGCCGGAGGGCCCGTGGCCGGGGCCAGGGTGGAGAGAGAAGGAAGGGCTCTGAGCTTGTGGCAGGGGTGCAGCCAGGGTTAAAACCATTAGAATCCCCCTTCTCCAGTATCCCTGCAAGTCCCTTAATGCGCATGGTCTCCCCTCTCGCTGGGCCCTGTTAATTCATGTCCCCTCTGGGTGCTGGGTCCCCATTTTCCCCCCCCAGTTTTTCAGCCACCCGGCTCAGTGCCCTGGAAGTGGGAGCAGTCAGGCAGATGCTGGAGTTCTTCCAGCCTGTGCTGCTTCACCCGGTGGGGCCAGTGCCTGGGGGCCCCTTCCACCCCTCCTGGGTGGGCAGAGCAAAGTGACAGCATTTGGGGCTGCAGCTGCCTGTGTGCTGGGGCTCGTGGGAGGTGGCCAGGGTCAGTGACTTGCCCAAGGCCGGCGTTGGTGCGGGGTTGGGATGCAGGAGTGCCGAGTGCCCAGCTCTCTCCGTGCCCTGCCAGGGGGGGCTCCTTGGGGGGCGGGGTCTTCGAGCTGGCAGGGAAGCCTGCTCACTGCCCCTCCGAATCGGGGAGTGGGGCCGGGAGCGCGTCCTCCCTCGCAGGACACAGGTAACGGGGCTGGTGTCTCCTCCCCACTGGCAGGGTGGAGGGCGACTGCCTGCAGGAGCTGAGCCTGGTGACCGCGCTGACCAGGGGCTCCAAGGTCTTCCTGACGCGGGAGGAGGCCCAGCACTTCATCAAAGAGTAAGAGTCCGCCGCGTCCCCTCCTCCACACCCCCAGCGGTGCTGCCGGGCCACTGGGCTCGGGGGGAGGCTGCATTCCCCACCCTTGCCAGGGTACCAGAGGGGCTGGGCTGGGTGTTCTCCAAAGCCCTCTTGGTCGCACGAGGTCCCCTGCCCCTTCCTGGGCTGTCTGATGGGCAGATCTGGCCGCAAAGCAGAGCGGGGAGCCAGGAGTGTCGCCAAGGTGCTGCCCCACACCATTCACCCTGGAGGGCTCAGCCAGTGACCCCTGGGGGGCAGGTCATGGGGCTGCTCCCTGCCATCTCGGAGAGGCTGAGTGCCAAGCCCACCCCTGCGTGAGCCTGGGAAGCTGCCGTGACCGCGCGCTGCCCACTCTCCCCAGGTGCGGGCTGCTGAACTGCGAGGTGGTGCTGGAGCTGCTGAGTCGGATGCTGCAGGACCCCAGCCAGCTCGTCTGCATGGTGGGTGCGCGGGGGAGACGCTGCGTCCACCCTGCGGGCACGGGGACCGGGGCCCACTGAGCAGCCCGAGAAGCCTCAGGAGTGTGGAGGGGCTCCCCGGCTGCCCCATGGGAGGAGGTGGCTCAGGAAACGAGGGATCTAGTGTGGGTCAGCAGTGGCTGTGAGCTGGTTCGTGCCCTCGTCTGCCTGCACTGCTGGGGTGCAGCCCAGTCCCTAGTGGGGAAGGGCTCCCACGGCGAAAGCTCCAGCACCCCTTGCCCCATGGCTGGACTCTGAGCGACGGGGCCCTGGAGCTGGTCCCGCCTGGGCTGGGGAAACTTGCTCTGCTGCTGATGTTGGGCCCTGGGGAATCGGGGAGCTGCAGCTCTGCAGGCAGTCGCCCCGGTGCGTGTCACGGCACTAAAGCCAGCTTGGACGAGCTGCCTGCAGCTGCAGTGTCGGCGTAGGTCCTGTCTTCTGACCTGCTCTTTTCTGTCCTCGCCAGAGGTCCATGTGTGCCATATCCTCCCTCCTGTGCTCCGACCTGCTGGCCCACGAGCAGATCTCTGGGATTACCCGGCCACACCTGCAGCAGCTCAGCCAAAGAACTCCCGGGCCCGTGGCCAACAAAGCAACAAAGGTGACTCGTGTGTCTCACTCCCACCCCAGCACAGCCTGCCCACCTAAGGACTGGCTCTGTGCTGCCGGGCCGGACGCAGCTACTTCCGCCCTCCCCTGGAGCAGGGAGCACCGGAGGGTGCAGGGTCATTTCCCCTCCCCCACCCCCGTACTGGGCTGAACTTTGCTCCTAGAGGAGATGACATGCTTCAGGGCATCCGCTGGTGGCTGCACGGGTCAGGAAAGAAGGAATGAAATATTGCACAATAGGCCAGGTATGGTGTGGGTGGTGAGCCCCCTGCAAAGCATCAGGTATTGAATCCTGCCAGGCAGGATACCAGCTTGATGTCTGATCTACTGTGCATGGCACACCCCGCGCTCCTCCAGCACTCAGTGCCAGGCAATAAAAGGGCTCCCCAAAACCCCATCCAGCCCCCCTGGGGAGCAGGCCGGCAGGGGCCGGCTGTCTGTTGCTTGTGAAGGGGTTAGTTGTGGGGCAGGCCCCGCTGTGCTGCACTGACTCCTTGCTCTGTTCCTCCCTTTCCCTGCCAGCTCCTGAGGCAGTTTGAGGCCTTGTGCAGGAGCTGCCCGTCTCCCAAGAGATCACAGCCGGACACGGATCCCTCTGCTCCTGCCGGGGGCTCCCCCCAGCACGCGCGCGACTTGCTGACGGACCTCATGCCTCTGGCAGGAGAGACCGTTCTCAAACCCGTGAGCTTAGCCCCTTTCCTCTCGGAGACGTGGAAAGCCCCAGCATTCGATGTGCATCCTGCGGCCGTGCCCGCCCCTGCGGGAGAGCAGGGCACAGAAGCGGAGACCTGGGAGCAGCTTGGGGATGTCTCACCAGGCAGTCGGTGCCAGCAGGAGGTGGAGTGCAGACTAAGGGGGCCTGAGCCCCAGTTGGATACTGCCCAGATGGATTCCAGGCGTACAGAGACTCTGAATGGCAGGCGGGGGGCAGCCGCATCCCCTCAGAGCCTCTCCCTCTTCGCTGGCATGGAGCTGGTGGCCCTTCCAGGCACAGCAGTAGCCAACCCTGGTGGGGAGGAATGTGCCTCTCGTGTTCCACGGACACTGCCCTGCACTGGGACTGCCAGCGCCAAGGCTCACGGGGACTCCGAGGGCAGCAGGGAACCTTCTGCGTTCTCCTTCCTCAACATGTAGCAGCTGGGGCTGCGGGACGCTGAGGAACTGGGGTCTCGCTCACTGCGTGTCGCTCTCAGGCCATCACTACAGGGGCACCGACTGGCACTACAGGGGCACCGGCTGCTCAGCTCAAAGCGAGGCCTCCCCGTTTCTTGTGGGTGCTGCCAAGTCCACGTCCTGCAGAAAGGGGCTGGCAGTGCCGGTGCTGCTGGGGAGGATCTCGCTAGGGCACAACAAGGAAATGGAGTCCCCAGTCACTCCCTTCAGTTTGATCCCTGGAGGTGCCCTCGAAAAATCCATGAGCAACCCTACAATAACAATCCAGCATGATCCCACATGGGTGGGAGAGGGGGAATGTGTCACGATAGCCAGTTCCAGGCTGCCAAAGGGGGGGTGGGAATGAGAATCCCCTTGACTCTACCCCCCCCGTTAAGGTTGTGCTAGAGGTTTAAGGCTAATCATATGGGCTTGGCTGCTCTGGCCCTGCTCGGGTCATCCATCAGTGGCCATCTGTAACACTGCTCAGACTAGGGCCTGGGGCACGCTGGGGAGGGAGGGGCAGTGAGTCCATATGGACTCAACCTCTCGTGCTGGGCCTCTGCCTGTGTGAATGAATGCACTAGTAACCACCTCAATCACTTAACGTGTATGGGGGGTGGTTAATGGTACCTTGGAAGGTCCAGGGACGCTGGCTGCCTTTCCCCAGCATCGCACCTGCTCAGTCCCATTGCTGTTG